ACAAATCAATGGATATTAAACATATTCAACTGGATACTATGAGGTATCAACACGTTTTATAAGTAATATAAGATGATTATTTAGATTATATTAACCCTTTCTTTCATAGTCATTACATAGTTTCACGGTCTTTTTCATCAGGATTATTTGATGAATCTACTCAAGCTTGTTACGATACAACACCTATTTATCGTAGTAATGAACTTGAGGTGTATATAACTTACCGCTTGAATTATATTATTAATTTATGAATTACTGATTACGGCAATTTTTGCAGACACCTGAGATGATAGTACAAGCATTCAAATTTACAACGTTTTCTAAAGTAATGTACTATAATGCTTTGACATGTTAATCTTATAATTTTTAATTTTTAACCACTTTTGTTTTTCAGATTCAAGAATTCGTTGCACTTCGGAAAGAACTTGAGAACTCTTTACAGAAGGCTCTCGTTGATCGAGAAATGGTACGACTAGAAATTTTAATTGCTTCAAAAACCAATAAACAAGTAATAGAATATTTCCAAGACTTGGATGTTTCTGATTTTTCATATGATGGTATTCTGTGCAATTTTCTTTAATGCATATTAAAATTTGGAAGCGGCTTATTTCTCATATCTTCGTATATTGTTTTAAAAAATTATTATTTTACATTTTTGGTTAGATGGTTTTTGTACAAATCTTCGAGATAACAGAGATTTTGTTTCCATGCCAAATTATAATCCTGATAGTAAGCCAACCATGGAAGAGATTACTAGAATATCACCAAAACTTGACGTAGGCAATCTTAGCTTTACTATAACGATATAAAAAAGAATTGATAATATTTTATATTAATCTTCTTTTTTCTATAAATTTATAGAAACTATGGCTTAAAATCTTCTCAATTATTCCACGTATTTTAAAATGCATACATGTTGAACAGAATGCTGATAATGTCAAGCAGCTAGTTGAAGAATTGGAAAAAGTATTAACTGAGGAAATCAATGGCGATCATAATGTATATATATTATTTTTTTTCTTGACTATGATACTTTGTGATCCATTTATAAATTAATTTAAAATTACTATAGATAATGGAGCAAGAAATGCAACTTGGTAATGTAATTGTTAAACTTGGTCGCCTTTTCATAACCGTAAAAGAAATTCAAAATGGGCAAAAAGGTATTTCAGTGAATTTATAAATACTATTTCTATGTTTACTTTGTATTTAAATTTATTGCTATTTTGAAAAGAGCTTGTCCAAAATTTCGAGTCTATCGCTGAAGAGCTAGTCAGTGCAGTAAAAGGTAATTTCACTAGTTCAGTGCATGCATCTGTGACCTTCTACTTAATTGGCAATATTATATTTTAGCTTCGGAACCCGTCGACAATTCTCAAATAAAATTATATGATATCAAATGGTTGTTGTTTCATCAGCTGACTTCTTTCTTAGAGGTATGTAATCATAAGCCATATTATACTTTATATCGTAAATATTCTTAACAACTTTTTATTTTGATCCGATTTAGACATGTAATTATTCTCTGATCGGAATTGGGGCTTTAAATGAAACACTAAATGTTAAAAATAAGAAATCGGGTCTGAGAGCGTTGGTAATGGAATAAAATCTTTTTATTTTAAGTAATAAATTTTCTTTTAATCTTGCTTTCAATTCTTCTTAGGCTCAAAAACTACAAATTATGTCAGAATTACCAACACAACTTACTTATTATCAAAAAGACATCCTAATCCAAATTGTTGAAGAT